GCTCGGTCAGCGAGTCCTCCAGCAGCTTCTCGTTGATTCGGGCAGCCCTCTGTAAAGAAAAGGCCTCAGTCCTGCCTGGGTCCCATGCTTGCCCTTCCTGGAACACCCCCAGGCCCTCCTGACCTGGCCCATCTGCTCCCAGCCAACCCCTACCCTTGGTACCTCCTGCTTCACTTTCTCCAGGCCTTTGAGCAGTGCCATCTGGAAGTTGTCCACCAGGACAGCAATCACCAGGCTATGGAGGGGACCAGCGGTGCTGTCAGGCAGAAGCCTACAGGAGAGCCCCTACCCCCTCTTCTGGATTCAGTGTGGCTGACCAAGGTGAGAGGGATGGGGTGAGGGTGCCTGGGGGAGGTAGGAGGGAGGAGGAGTGAAGCAGGCAGCAGAGCAGCAGCAGAGGGGTCCTCACTTGAGGAAGATGAAGTACTGGATGATGATGTAAATCATGAGGATGGGAATGATGTACCAGGCCCCTGGGGAGAGCAGCGAGGGATCAGCTGGGTCTGCCCAACCAGCAGCCCCCTGCCCTCTGCCCAGCCTGGGACCTGCCCTACCCTGGGCCCGGCTGTCCATGTAGATGAGGGACCAGTCATCCAGGGTGAGCAAGGTGAAGAGGGTGAAGATAGTGGTGAAGATATTCTGGAAGCGCTTGGGGTCAGATCTGCGGAAGAGTGCTCGGAGGACCACGGAGAAGAGGACTGGCTGTTCAGGACCAAAGCAAGGTCATGGGGTCCTGTCCTTTGCCCTAGCATCCCCTCACCCCCACCCCTTGGCCTTTCGCCTCATCCCAGTGCTCGTAACCCAGGATACAAAGACAGGTAAACATGAGGATGAGGATGGCTGTGATAGATGGCAAGGTCCGGGCCAAGGTTCCTGTCACTTCTTGCAGGCTGGTCAGGATTCTGTGGTTAGAGAAGGAGCAGGAGGCTGAGTCAGCAGGCCGGGGCCTGGGCCCAGCAGCCAGAGCCGCACTGAAGGCCAAAGGTTTCTGGTTTGTAGGTGACTAGGAGGAGTTGTGGTCTCTCTCTGAGAATTGAAGAGCATGGTCCCAGAGGATGGCAAGAGGCTTATTAGAAACAATCTGGTGCGTGCGGCATCCCTGCCGCCATCGTTAATGGCAGCTGCAGTTGTACTGACCTGAGCCTTCGCAAGACCCGGATGGCCCTCAGGGCCCGCAGGCTCTTGAAGACCTTAAGGATGCGGAAGAGGCTTTGGTTGTAGAAGGAGAAGGAGAAGGAATTCATCTGCATGAGCACGAAGTCCACGAGAGCCATAATCATGATGAAGAAGTCTGAATTATTCAAAGAATTATTTAGTTTAATTTTAACTTATTATTATTCTGTTTCTAATTTGACCAGAGAGAGAGAAAGTGAAAACGCGAGCACCAGATCTGAGATTTGGTGAGGCCCTAGCCCACACCCACAGTTCTCTCCGTGCTAAGACACCTGTTCCTGCTTCTCTTTCATCCTCAGTCCCGCCCCCAAAACTGTTCAGTCTTTCCCTCTCTCTCTGTCTCTCTCTCACATCCTCAGCCCCACCTACCCAGATTGTTCCAGGCATCATAAAAGTACCCGAGGCCTAGGGCGATGATCTTGAGCACGGCTTCCACTGCGTAGATGCAGAAGAAGATGGAGTCCAGGGCCATGAAGTACCACTCTGTGGGGACATAGGGCTGGCTCAGGACCACTCTCAGCACTCCTGATCCCCTTCTCCTTCCTCCTTCCTACTGGGATCTCACACAAGCCCAGGGACCTAGGCTCTCTCCGGTTTTTCCCTAAATGTTGGCATGACTCATTTATTCTGTGCCTGAATTTCTTTCCTGCAAAATGATGAGAGTAGCTTGACAGAACTGTTTTATTATTAATAGATGCATTTAATACAGATAAAGGGCTTGGAATAGAGCCTGAATCAGTGAGCAATCCTGAACCAGGGAGCTCCTTTGCTTTATCTGCTCCAGGAGTTTTAAGGCATTATCATCCTAGCTTCCCATTCTCACCCCTCCAAACATCTTCTCAGAGTCTTATCGCCTTCTAGCAGACACTGCGTCCTGAGTACCCTGGCTGCCCAGAGTATAATATACAGGTGTATTCAAAAAGTTCATGGAAAATGACCATTATTAGGAAAAGGCTGTACATAGATCGTAACTTTTTGCACTAAGATAGCACTTATTTTTATTTATTTATTTATTTACTTTAGAGAGATCTGATACTATAAGGTGTGTGTGCTAGCCAGAGAGACAGAAAGTGAGAAATCACCCCTCGGGGGGATGGCCATGCTCCAATCCCTTCTCCTCCATTCTCTTCTTGGTATTTTGGCGCATGCATGCACATGTGCCCAGTGTGAGTTTGAAGCTGCTAGGTCCGGGCCTCAAATCACTGTCAACTATGTGGGAGTCCAGGGACATAAACATAACACCATGTGTTGGTTCCAAGATAGCAGTTTTAATTGCATTTTCCATGAACTTTTTGAAGTCCCCTGGTATTTTAAGCACATATGCCACCTGGTGGCTGTTGGCTTGAACATACAGCCTCTGGTTTAGTTGATCTTTTGAGTTTCTGGCTGGTACTCTGACCTCAGCGATACCTTTCTAAGACTCATCTCTAACTGGGCAATGTAATCTACTTCCTGGGTAAGAATCCAGTGTGCTACGTTATATAAATCACCCAGCGCAGGCCACCAGATGGTGGAGTGGTTAAGGTGCTGGACTCCCCATGGCAGGCTGTGGTTCAAGTCCTGGGTCTAGTGGCTTTTTACATTAACTGGGCAAGTGCACATGCATGCCCAAAGTCCCACACTGGGCAAGTGCACATGCATGCCCAAAGTCCCAGGAGGAGAATGGAGAAGGGATTGCAGTATGGCCATTCCCCTTCAGGGGCGAGTGATTTCTCACTTTCCCTCTGGCTGTCTCTCTCTGGCGAATGCATATGTGCCCTATTGCAAAAAGCCTTTAAAAAAAATTATCTCTCCCAGCACTAGGTCGGGCCCACAGGAGGGTCTGTAAACTGGGTTCCCTGGCTCTTACCTCCCCGGACCTCCACTTCTGCGAAGGTCTGGGCCACGAGCATGATGGTGTTGAGGCAGATGATGAAGAAGATGAAGGCTTCAAAGGCCAGGGACTGGATCAGCTTCCGGAGCATGATCCGGAGGCCCCGAAAGAGGATGGTTAATTTTTCCCATAGCCATTCAAAGAAGTTCAAAGAGTGCAGCTTCTTGTGGGTCCTCTGTGCTCGACCTGCTGTAATGGGGCCAGAGAGTCCAGCGTGCTCAGACTGGGTCGTGCATCAACTCCATTCCTGCCTGCTTGCCTGCCATGCACTGGCTAAGGTGCCTCTACGATAATCTGGTACTAGTATCATGGTGCAGACTGGAGCCCTTCCAGAGTTGGCTTGAGCAGGTCCCAAGGACTCCCACTTTAACACCTCCATGCTTTTCTTTGCTTGCATGGAAACTTAGGCATGGAAAACCCAACACTCTTCACCACCCCAGCTTCTTGATAAATTCTCTCTCTTTAAGATCCTGTTAAACCACTCCTCCTCCTGGCTGTCCTTTTTGTCCTCATTCAATGAGACACTCACCCCTCTCTGTAAGACTATACCATTTACTGAAATACTAGGAACCAAATTTGTGGGATTGTGAGTTAGAGACCAAGATTTCTCCCCATTCTTCAATAAGACCCTCATTTAGGTACAAGTTTTCAGGCCCTGTCTTCATTCAGTTCCTTTTTTTTTTTTTTTGGAGAGGTTTTTGCCATAGGGCGCATGCGCTCACCAGACATACAGAGAGAGACAGAGAGACAGAAAGTGAGAAATCACCCGCCAAGGGGGAATGGCCATGCTGCAATAACTTCTCCTCCATTCTCCTCTCGGGATCTTGGGGATGCACACACATGCCCCCAGCGTGAGTTTTAAGCCACTGGGTCCAGGACACATACTGCGGTCAACTACGTGTGAGTCCAGCAACATAGCCATTATGCTAACTGCTGGTCCCACAAAAAATCTTTAAAAAATAAAAGGGATAATAAACAAGGATAGTAGAGGCCAGCAGATGGTGTAGCAGTCATGTCGCTGGACTCTCACATAGTCGAACGTAGTTCAAGTCCCAGACGTGGTGACTTGAAAATCATGCCAGGCATGTGTGTGTGTGCTCAAGATCCTGGGAGGAGAAGGGATTGTGGTGTGGCCATCCCCCCTAGGGGGTGATTTCTCATTTTCTCTTTCACTGTCTGTCTCTCTCTGTCTCCAGTGAGCGCATGTGTTCTACGGCAAAAAACTCTATAAATAAATAAATAAAATAAACAAGCAGAGTGAATAGCCAATGGGATATACGTGCAGGTGAGAGTCTGGTCTCATGATCTGCAGAAGGTAATTTCAGCGCCTGGATGAGGTGAGAGTTGGAATCAGGGGTGAGGGTGCAGCAAAGACTTACTTTTGCGCTTCTGCAGTTGCTCATCTTCATCCCAGATCCTTGAGCCTTTGGAACTCATTTGTTGGGGATGGACTTTGATGGTGCTTTGAGAGTCATGTGAGTGACTTGCAATGTGGGATGGAGTCGCACTGTAAACTGAAATCTTGCTGTGAGCTATGTGAGATTGGAAGGGTGCTATATGGGAAACAGCAGGGCCAAGGTAGTGAGTCATGCTTGGAGATCTATATGGGATGAATTCCTGGGAGGTGTACCAATGGTACTCCCTGTGGTGAGGATCACCATGGAAATAATCTTGATGACGCATACTATGGTGACCACCACCAGGACCATGGTGGTGTTGGCCATGGTGGTGCTTGTGGTGGTGTTGCTCACCATGAAGATACTCGCCTTGGTAGCGAGTTGTACCAGAGGGATAATGGGAGATGCTATCTCCATGATGAACAGGCCTTCTGTGGTTGTGGATGTCATAATGATGAGGTCTGCTAGGGTGGTAGGACCCCAGAGAGGAATCAGGGGAAGCATCTCTGTGATGAATAGGCCTTCCTTGGTGGTGAGAGTCCTGATGATGGAAGTAGTCATGGTGGAGCCCATCATGGTGAATATCCTCAGAGGGGTTGTATGACCCAGCACGGTGATAATGATCAGTGTGTTGATACCCACCATGGTGGGGATGCTCTCTGTTGTGCTGAGGCCTTCCATGGTGGTGAGGCACACCTTGGTGGAAGGGCTCAGTAGGCTGATGGACCTTCCCATGATGTGAAGGTTCAATATGGTGCTGGGCTTGCCCATGGTGGTGGGGTCTCCCAGAGTGTTGGGTCCCACCAAGATGCATCCTGTTACCTTGGTGGTGCTCATCTTCAAAGTGTCCCTCATCATATGAATGGTGAGAAAAGACATTGCCTTGGGAGGAAGCCAGACCAGAGGATGAAGTATGGTTGTTTCTGCCATGGTAGGCCACACTGTTGTGATGGGATTGGTGAGAATGGTGGGGGATGGCATTGTCATGGAAGTCTTGGAACTTGCGATGGTAGGGCTCATCATGGTGGTGGGATACCCCATGATTATGGAACTCACTATGGCCTGGCCTGTAGTGTGGGGATGCTGAGTGGGGATGAGAGAAGATATCCAAGTCCTTGGTGTCTGCCTCATTTTGAGCCTTTTCAGACATTGCGGGTTGATCCGTGACTATGCTGAGAACCTAAAACAAAGTGCAAGATATGGGCCGAACAGGCCCCTTACTGGATTTTCCTTCTCTTCTAAGCTGAGCTCACGCACACTGTGGCACTGGACTTTTGGAAAAGTCTGAGTATTCTCATGGAACTCTCTCCTATATGATGTCACCAGCAGAACTGGGTCTAATTACCAAATGTCTCCTGGACTATGGTTCCAAATACAGAATTATTGTATCAACTCTTTACCTGTAAAATGAGGAAACTGAGAGCCAGAAGGTGGCATGGTGGTTAAGGCACTGATCCCACATGGCTGACTGTGCAGTTGGAGTCCTGACCTGGTGGCTTAAAAAATCACTCTGGTTGGGGCCAGCAAGTGGAGTGGTGGTTGAGGCATTGGATGCCCATGTGGCCAACTGCAGTTCAAGTCCTAAACCTAGTGACTTGAAAATCACGCTGGACATGTGTGCATGCCTGCCCAAAATCCAGAGAGGAAAATAGAGAAGAGATTGTGGCATGGCCATCCCCCTTGGGAAATGATTCTGCTGCAGAAAAACAGACGGCTGGCCATGGGATGAAAATGCAGCACTCCGGAGAGAAAGAGAACTCTTTAATTACATCGGCAGGTATGGAGGAGTTAACACTCTGAATCTCCGGCCCCTGCTTAGGCATTAAGCACAATCTTTTATTGGGGAGTAGGAAGAAGAAGCCTATTAGGAAGAAGCAGCCCATGAGGAAGATGCAGCCCAGAGTTTGTTCTCAGGAAGAAAAGGTCAGATAAGTGGGGTGTCTGGCTTCTCAAGGTCTCAGATTGCTTTTATTACTTAGATGGGGAAAGGCAGAGACAGTGAATTCACAGAGGCCTGGGAAATTTGGGCAATTGCCCGCCTTGGGCTATTGTGAGTTCTGGACCCATCCACATCAATTCCTCTCTCTCTCTCTCTCTCTCTCTCTCTCTGTCTTTGGCAAGTGCACACACCTTATAGCAAAAAACTTTTTTAAAAAGGAGAAAACTGAGACCGAGATAAAAGAAGGGTTGGCCTATGGTACCCCAGCAGGGTGATGGCAAGGCTGGACAAAGAAGTAAGAGTGACACTACAGTTGCTCCATCATTTTCTCTGGCCCTGCAGTTGGGAAACGAACAAACAAACAAACAAAAACCCCTTAATTAGATAAAGTGACTCAGTACCCAGTCCCACCTAGATATCAACTGACTGGGGTTAAAATTGCCTGACTTCCCCATCAGTAAGTGTGTGACCTTGAAATTGCACTTAATTTTTCTATGTCTGTTTCTTCTTTCCTCTGTAAAATGTGATCTACCTACATCATAGAATCAAAAAAGGTAAGATATGTAAACCTTGGACTGACTCTGGGCCTAGTGGTTAAGGGATCCAGATTCTACATGGCCAACTGTGGTTCAAATCCTGACCTTGGTGGCTTGAAAAACACACCAAGCATGTGCATGTTCACATCCTGAAAAGATGAAGAAATGGAGAAGAAGGGATTGCGGCATGACTATATCCCTTTAGGATGTGCATTCTCTCTCTCCCCCTCTCTCTTTTTCTCTCTAGTGAGTGCATGGGCCCTCTGCATGAGCTCTACTTATTTTTTTTTAATTAAAAAAATGCTAAGATACTTAAGACTTATACTAACATTGTAATGAATATGAGTCGATATTATTATTCTCTCCTTGATTGTGGATATTGATGAAAACCTCCCTCTTGAGTTATTTACCAAAATAAACCTACCAGCCATCATTTATTGAGACCCTACTTCATACATTTAATTTAATCCTCATAGTAATCACATGGTGTGTATTATCTGCATTTTACAGAGGAGGGTGCTGTGACTCAAAAAGTATAAATGAATGGTCAATAAATCAAAACTTAAAATCCATGCTAATTTCAAAGTCTACACTCATGACTTTGATGTGATCCTGTCTTCTCCTGAAATCTACTGCACAGCTTTTCTGTACACTGAATTCCCTTGTGTACTACAGCACAGTTCTTCTGGAAGCTAACAGGTCAGTTCCTTGACTGGAGCTACTTCCTGGTGCCCAGTCAAAGCCAAGTTCATGTGAACATTGGGTAGTGGATTTCCAGTGACAGAAGAGGTACAGCCCCTGCCCTCAAGGAGCTTCCTGTCTGTTGCCAAAATCCCAAAAGGAGGAAGAAATGGAGGAGAAGGGATTATAGTTGGGCCATCCCCCATGGGTGGGGGGGTGATTTCTTGTTTCCCTTCTCTCTCTCTCTCTCTCTCTCTCTCTCTCCAGTGAGTGCACATACCCTGGAAAAATTTTTTAAAATAATAATTATAATTTTTTTTAGAGATTTTTGCTATAGGGCACGTGCACTCACCAGACAGACGGAGAGATAGAAAGCAAGAAATTGACCCCCTCAGGGGGTGGCCATGATTAAATCCCTCCTCCTCCATTCTCTTCTTGGGATTTTGGGCACACACGCACATGTGTCCTGCGTAAGTTTGAAGCCACTGAGTCCAGGACTCAAAGCACAGTCAGCTACATGGGAGTCCAGCAACATAACCATTACATCATCTGCTGGTCCCAGTAATTATAATTTTTACATGCTGTGACTCAGCTCCTTCTCTGACACTTTGTTGTTGATGTAAACAGTGTAAAACTTGAATTATACAGGTTAGTAGTACATTTCATTGTGAGATCTCATATTTTTTGCAACTGATTTTTTTCTTTTTCTTTTTTTCCCTTTCCTTTCTTTTTCTTTAGGAGTCAGAGGGCATATGTGTTCAATAGAGAGAGACAGAGACAGAGGGAGAAGGAGAAAACAACCCTCAATAGGACATGGCCATGTTACCAGACAAATATACAGACTGGTTTTGATCACTCAATGCACAGTAAGCCAATTTCTTAGATGATGAGGGTTTGCTTAAAGGAAGACTTTATTGCAGAAAGTATCAACCAATAGAGCGGTATGGTTCAAGACCCATGTAGTACTGATTCCATCATTAAGGGCCAAATAGGGCTTTTTTATTTTTATTTATTTATTTATTTATTTATTTATTTATTTATTTATCCTCTTGGGATCTTGGGCACGCACGCACATGTGCCTGGTGTGAGTTTAAGCCACCGGGTCCAGAACTTGAACCACAGTCGACTACATGGGAGTTCAGCAACATAGCCATTACACTAACTGCTGGTCCCAGAAGTCAGGAATATGACAATGAGAAGGTCTGGGAGTAGAGACTTTCTAAAAACAATTTCTATGATATCCTCAATGGATGGTGCTGTTTCGTTGGTGGGAACAGGAAGGTCCAGAGTGAGATGTTATCATCAAGTCAATTTTGGGTAAAAAATTCAAGATAGGGAACCAGCAGTTAGCGTAATGGCTATGTTGCTGGACTCCCACATAGTCGACCACAGTTCGCGTCCCAGACCCGGTGGCTTAAAACTCATGCCGGGCGCATGTGCACGCGTGCCCAGGATCCCAAGAGGAGAATGGAGGAAAAGGGATTGCGGCGTGACCATCCCCCCTGGGGGATGATTTCTCGCTTTCTGTCTCTATGTCTCTCTTTGTCTGGCAAGCGCACGTGCCCTATAGTGAAAATCTCTCAAAAAAAAAAAATCAAGACAAACAAGTCTTAGAGGACACCTAGATTTCTTCAAACTTTATTTGCTACTTGTGGCTCTGCCTTGCAAAATTTGAACAAGTAAGGCCATCACAACATGGTCACTACAGGACGATAACCACAGTATACAGATAGTATCGATTTAGCCACGAGGGAGAGAGGGAATGAGCTTATTGATTGTATAAAGTAAATTACTGAGGACTCTAGGGCATGGTTCATTATTTTTTAACCTGGTAAATATTATACTTAAGACTAAACAAAGAAAATGTATTTTTTTTACATCTCAGGGGCTGGTATCAAGGTATTTAATTCTTCATTCATGGGGAAGAATGGGGTGTCCTTTCTTCTGGTTAAAACTGCTGAGAAGGGACATTGTGGGGCCCTGAGAAACAGAACTGTTGACCCTGTACATGCAAATATTCTTGAATTTTTCCAGTGAGTATTCCTGGGTTGCATCGGCATTCAGTTTATACCATGATGTTGCCAGGTGTTCTGAGCCATCTGTGGGTTAGCCTTTCCTGGCAACTGAGGGAAAAATTATAGCAGAAGACAAGGCAACAAAGGAAGATGCCAAGAACAATGATCATTTTTGAAAAGAATTATTTATTTTATTTTATTATTATTATTTAATTTGGTGAGCGTGCATTCACCAGAGAAAGAGAGAGAAAGGGAAAGTGAGAAAGCAAGCTGCCAGGTCCATGACTTATACCATAGTCAGCCTTGTGGGAGTCCAACACTTTAGCCACCACGCCACCTACTGGACAGAAGAACAATTATTTTTCTGAGGACAACGAATAGCTTTTTCTCCTAGACCATGACAGACCCAAACCATGATGATAACTAGTCAAGACTGAGAAAGTGGGAGATAACCTGTGGCATGATGGTTAAGGTGACTGGATCCCATGAGGCCAACTGCAAGGTTTCAGTCCCAGAACTGGCAGCTTGAGACACACACTGGGCATGTGTATGTGTTTGCCCAAAATCCTGAAAGGAGGGAAAAGTGGAGAAGAAGGGATTGTGATGTGACCATTCCCCATGGGGAGTGATTTATGATTTTCTCCCTCTCTGTGTCTCTCTCCCACAAGCACATGTACCCTCTGGCAAAAAGGAAAAAAAAAGAAAAAGAAGTGAAAGAAATAAAAAGAAAGAGAAAGAAAGGAAAAGAAAAGGGAAGGAAGGAAGGAAGGAAGGAAAAGAAAGAAAGAGGATTTGAAGGAAGAAACAAAGAACGAAAGAAAATCATACAGGGAGTGTGTCCATACATATCCAAAATCCCAAGAGGAGAATGGAGGATTGCGGCATGGCCACCCCCACTGAGAGGTGGTTTCTCACTTTGTCTCTCTCTGTCTTTCTCTATCGAGCGCATGTGCCCTACAGCAAATAGAACAAAAGAGAAACTAGTCTCTTTCATGTCCAGTTCTTCATT